TTAAATTTTGTCTCATTTTTAAAAAAAAGAGTACAATAAGTGAAAAGTAAGAGTACACTGTTTTCCGACCTCGAAAAGAGTACATGTACTCTTTAAAGAGTACGGTTGGTAACCCTATTCTTTGTCGACATTCTGTTGGATATATTTTACACGTTTTCACACCAATTATATTAGAAGGAATAGTGGGCTTGTAGATATATACATCATCCATCCAGACAACTACCTCGTCACCATTAGTAAGAGTTAAATATATACTGATGTACAATCCTTTAAACTATCAAGGGGAATAACTATCAAGGGGATAATGGCTGTTTTCCGCAAAGCGCATATGCGCGCATTCCCCTATAGTATATGTGACACTCACTATATAAAATGCGTGCATATGCGCTTTGCGGAACGCAGCCAATGCAATGCCCGCGAAAATGGCGTTGCCCAAACGGACACTGGGTACCTGAGTGTACAACGTCGTCAAGCTGAAATAACCTACGTCAGGACAAACGAACAAAACGAGCTCAATTCGCGGACACGCACCAAGCTCTGTGGGTTCAATCGCTCGGTCAAAGTCAGCAACACTTTCAAAAATATTAAATTGAAAGCACCCGAAACATGTCTACTGCGATTGGAATTGAGCACCCATTGGTCATTGGTCAAAGCTCGATCAAGAATGGCAAAATTATGTAATAAACCTAAAATTTTACAGAACGTTACGTGAGGAAAAGCCTTAAAACGTGCAAAATGGGCCTTCTACAATAAGCCATAAGTCATAAATAGGAAGTAAAAATTAAAAATTGACGACTGTGATTGGTCCATTTCTAGCTTATGACTTATGATTTGTGGCTTATTGTAGAAGGCCCATTAGGCTGCGCACAATGGAGGAACAGATATTAGATATTAAAATATTAACTTATCAGATACCAGTTACACCCATAGACTATGGGTGCTTTGCTTTCCAGCAAGGACAGAATCAGACACTGTGTAACACAGAGAATTGTTTCATCCTTGTTTAACATAGGCAAACAATAAGGATGTAATGATTCACTGTGTTACACCACAGTATATACAGTAGCGCAACTCTCCTGATTTTGTGAAGCCTAAAATGAAGTGCGCATGCGCGGCCGAGGCGCGTAACCAATCAGGGCACTGTATTCAATCTCACTTCTTCTTTCCATTGTCGGTGTCTGTCAGTCCCATTGAAATGTCCATATAAGGCATTTAAAGGACCATTTGACGGAAAGTGGCGGGAACGCGACGAATTTTATGTGAGAAACAGTGAGAATAGTGCTACGTGTGATAAAGTAATAAGTGATACGTGTTTAATTTTAATAATTATTCAGTGTATTCAGACGTGTTTAAGAAAGTGTAAAAAAACAGAGAACGTAGACCGAGTTAGCTTTACGGAGAATAGGTTATCTGTACAAAAATAGTACAGATTTCAAATTCTCTTGAAGCACTTTGATCTTAGCTTTCTGTTAAGGTGCTTTTTCATGCGCAGCACGCTGCAGCAGCAATTCGTTACTATTGGTTAAGAATTTTATGTAAGCTAGATGACGCACTTCCGGCGCAAAATACATTTTGCCGCAGTTCGTTGAAGTTGAACCGAACGAACAGCAAGCAGCAA